AATTGCTATGACCAAGTGGACAGATTCTTGGCGGTGCCAAGATTAGGGTCCCGTCGCAACCTCGTGCACTAGTTGCACCAAACTTGAATGCAGAGCCGACGGGACTGGCTTGGGGGTTTAGCCTTGGTATGTCTCGTGGTAACGTGGAAATTCACGTGGCAGCAAGCGCTGAGCACAATGGTGGTGCCTTTCGCCAGTTTTTGGAATAACAAGGCAAAAATGAGAGTTGCTTGGGGATAATGGTGGGCGAGGTCATTTTCGAATCTGTGCAGGACTCGCTTGCCACTTTGAGGGCTTGTACGAAAGAGCGAGAAGGGTTCCGTTCTGGGTGGCTAGAGCTTCAAAACTGTAGCAGTTTTGAATAATTACGAATATTACGAATTTCAAGTTTTCTGTAATGGTATAAAAAATGAACCAACATGCAATCCTATCCCTCAAAAGGTTTTATGTAACAACACGCCTTATTCCAGGTGTTAAGGCCTCTACATTACCTGGTTCTAAGCCTGGTACATGCCTCTCTGCATCCAAACCTTGTCTCATCCATCTTCAGCTCACAGAGGTAGCATTGATGTGCATGCGAGCTCCTGCAGGCATTCAGTTCGTGGCAGCGTAACCTCCAGAAACTGTGCAAACCCACGTGCCATGGCAGTATGATGCAACCACGCTACTTGACCAAAGCTTCCTTTTCTTTTCCGATGCAGGCTTTCGAGTCGGAACTTGGTGTTCAGGCACCAGCTGCTTTGCCGCAAGAGGTTATTCTTGCCATTATAGTAATAACGGTAATATTCTAATTTTAGCAGTAATATGGTCTAGGCTGGCATTCTTGCTAGCATGTTGGCACCTTCTTTGGAGAATGGAAATGCGGCCCTAGTGTGCTGGGCATCGCCATCATTGCAAGCTTGCCAAGAAGAGGAACGATCTGCTGAGGCGATCTGAACTCAACCCACCTTAAGCCCTAAACCCCTGAATCCGAAACCCCTAAACCCCTAAACCCCTGAACCCCTGAACCCCTAAACCCTAAACACTAAACCCCACTTCTTAAAATGAGGTCATCCCCGCTACTTCATAAGCCCAAAAGGCTCCACTCTCAAGAGGTCCATGTGTAGTATAGTCCCCCTTAAGTAGATAGAATATGGCTTTGGGATGCTTGGGGTAAAATAAAAAAAGCCCGCAAAACCCGATATTCTTTCTACTAAAGGGGGACTATATCTCTAGGTGGACTGGCAGGAGGTCATCAGGCGGGTTTGAGCTACTGTGGTACCCCCAAGATACAAGCTATAGTCTAAGCTCCTGAAAGGGGCTATATAAGGGGGTTATATAGGGGGGTACTATAGGGGTTAGAAAGGAGGATACTAGGAGTCTAGACTATGGCTCATATTCTAGTCCTTGTTGTTTTAGATCAGTAGGACTCACAGAAAAACGGATCCCTTTGCATGGAAATACTCTTACAGCATCTAATCCCCAAACCCCAAAAGCTCGCTATAACTCCTCATATTAGGGGACTTCTAAATCCCTACCTTTTGGAAGCCACCGACCCTAATGTCGGGTTATTGTGAATTCCTATTCTCGTGGTAACTGTGATTCTGAGTGGCCTTAAACTTGAATTGAAGCCTGAACCCTACACCCTAAACCCTAGCCTCTGGGTTTTGCCTTGGCTTCCTAAGGTGGGCTTTTGGGACCCACTCGGGCTCTCTAGCGACGGAGATGCCCAGGCCACAGCGTATGGGAGTTGTTCTAAGGGAGGGATCGCTGGAAAAACTTTTCTTAAAGGCGTCCGAACCAAAAAGGAGACCTACCTTGTGGCCACAAATTTTGGAGTCAGGCAGAGATACCATATAGATAAGAGTGGTCTCGTGCCCGAGTTTCCCACACAACTTTTTTTGTGGGCAAATGCCCGCTTGCATCAACTAGCCCAGCACTTCAAACCTAAAACCCTAAACCCTAATCCTCAAACCCAAACCCTAAACCCTAAACCTTCTGCGGAGGTGTCCAGAGCTATGTCGTCAGTGGCGACGACGGATGGCCACGCCCTTCTCCAGCTGGCGACTCCTGCTGCACCCGCCAGACCAACTTCCAGTCCAATGGCAGAGTCTGTGGACCATGCGGCGACGACACGGCCCCCTTTCAACATATGGCGGCGCTCTACGACACACCCCGTTGTTGCGCATCCAGCAGGTCACTCGGATGACTATGTGGAGGTCCTTGTGGATGATGAGGACGAGCCGGTGCATGGTGTGAAGGGTGCTGCTAGTACTGCGCCCATGCCGGAAGGCATGCCTGAACGCCCGGTGCCATCGAGTCATCAGCCACAGCAAGCGCTGGGGGAGACGGGTCGCGATCTGTGGAGGAATGAGGTCGACAATGACGACGGGGATGGAATCGCTGCAGATGCTTCTGAAGGTGGAATGGTCCCTGGTCATGAGGATGGGGAGTCGGAGAGGGCTCTTACAGAGGACCCGGAAGAGAATGTGGAAGGCGACAATGATGTGCCCTCGCCTAGGGAGGAAGGGACAGGCCTGGAAGAGGAGCCGGGCAGGTGGATGTACCTTCTGCAGAACCCGGAAGACCAGGAACAAGATCTGGAGGGGGAGCAGGTAGCTCTGGTGCAGGGAAGGGTGCAGGCTGTGCAGAGATTTGGCATGCTTCTCAATCCCTTGAAGACCAGTAGCACCATACGAGATGAGCAGCGCCTCCAGAGCCCGGTACTTCTCTGCCCTATCACCCGTGCTAGCACCAGGGTGTGGCCTTCTCTCGGCAGCGGCCATTTCCAGCAGCAGCCTGGCTCGTCGGGCAAGAAGGTGTGGCGAGTGCGAAAAGCCATCCAGATCATGTTGCAGGGTCTGGCAATGGGGGCGAGTCTACTTCAGGGGAGTCTTGCAGTTCGATGGGGGCGTCTTCCTCGGGTTTGGCTACCACCTCTTCCTTGTCTCCGACCAGCGCGGCCACAGGGGATGAGGACAGGCAGTGGGTTCTTCGCCATTGGCATGGTCTGCGCTGTTACCTCGTTGTCCCCCTCTTCGGTGCTGATGACGAACAGCTGGTGGGAGCAGACTCCCAAGCCTCTCTGGACTCGGTGGAGATAACAGGTGAGATAATGGTGCATCGTGACGGTGCATGGCGGCCGGCCACAGATGCTGAACGAGAACAAATTCAGCTCAGAGACATGTTGGAAAGGGAAATGGAGGAAGCGCAGGAGGCGGATGACGCCATGAAGTGGGAAGCCCTTCAAGAAAAACGGAAGAGCGAAGCTGCGCAGGCCTGGGACAGGCACGCCCTCCAGGTTGCCATGGAGGAGCCCCAACAGAGGAAGAAGATGAGGCTGTGTTTCCGGCTGAGGGACAAAGAGGGTCACGTGGTAGCAGAGGGAGGTTGTCCTGTGGAAGCGATGCCGGCACAAGTTCACTCCACGGAAACCTGGACGGCCGAGGATGTGGGAGCTCTGGGCCTGCAGGATGAGGAGGAGCCTAACGTTGGGTCAGTTGAGTTCGACGAGCTGGTGGTGCAATCTTCCCAGCAACTTCCGGAGCAGACGTCCTCGCAGGTCCCGCCGCACATCCATGGCCAGGAAGACTCCGTGGTAGCGGCGTACCTTGCCGTGTACCTTGATGGCAGCATCCCCGACGAAACCATCGAGGACCGCTTTGGACCCGCAACGTTGGGACTGTTCCGGGCCCGGCGCCAGAGTGACGTCCAGTTGGTGGATGACCCGGCCACGTGGCATGTCTTCCGCCGGTGGATGCGGGGTGACCTCACTGATGATGACATCCTGGAAGAGTATGGCCCCAACTTCTTGGACAAACTGCGTGCGGAGCGAGGACTTCAGGGTGGTGCTTCGCCTGTGGGGCTTGCTTCAGAAGTGGAGGGAGAGGCTCGTCTCCCCGTTGGTGCAGGGTCGTCACAACGAGATGCAGCGGGAACAGGGAGAGAGGGAAATTCCGAGGACAAGGCAGACTCCACTGCGAAAACCCTGATTGACATAGGGAGGGCATGACCGCTGGGTTTGGGGGAGAAGGGTTCAACATTGTGACCGCCCGTGTTACCGCTGCCTCCGACAGGCATGGTGGTGCCTCAGGTTTGCCGGGAGCTGATCGTGCTGGCCAAGGTGTTGTACCCGGGGTCTCTTGCGCGGATAACAACGTGAACCATGGCCCGAGGGTTAACTTGGCACAATCCCTGGGTGCCCAAGCTGCTGGCTCGGGAACGACCTCGCTGGCTGATAACGAGGGCGCCGCTGTCTCGGTGGCTGCTGAGGAAGGTTCGGTGGATGCCATGGCCAAGGCCCGTGCGACTGCGGGATCTACGGCTGCTGCTGGTGCTCTTCCAGAAAGGCACGGAGCTGCGCCTGGACTGCTTCTTGGCCAGGTGGAGGGCTCAGCTGCTGCGTCGATTTCGTCATCGGCAGGGTCGTGGAGTGGGTGGTTGGACGGCCGTGCTCCAGGCCTTCTCGGAGGCTCCTGACTGACGACGCGCCTCAGGAGCTGAGATCGGCGGCAGAAGCTATCATGGCTGCGGTGGCGCGAGGTCTAGAAGAATCTGATGACGAGCTCCGTGCGCCTCCATCGTCGTCAAGTGATCTTCCCTGGTCTGCGCCGCTTGGTGGTCTCCTGGGGCTTCTCCTCCTCGTGACCGGCTTCAGCCTCGGTGTCTTCGGCGGCTCCTGAAGAGCTTGTGAAGGGTGAGTACTGAGCGTAGCTCCTTTTCCCTTTTCCTGGGTCCGTGGGTGATTGTATGTGTCGCCTGGGATTTGGGGTGCCTGGCTTGTGTTTCAATTTTAGTTTCGATTTCAAGGACTTGGCCTCTGCATGATATGTGCTTTCTGACCTGTCTGCAGGCGGAAAAAGGGGCGACAAAAAAAAACCCTAAACCCTAAACCCTAAACCCTAAATCCTAAATCCTAAACCCTAAACTGAGCGAGCCGCGGGCGCCGCATTTGCCGGCGGCGAGCGTAGCTGCGCTCAAAGCAGCAGGCTCCAGAGCGAGCGACAGTCGAGCGAGGAGCAATGGTGCTGGCGCACGGCAGAGCTTGGGGCCCCACCACGCTCCACGAAGCGTTTCGCTGCAAGGGCCCCGCCTTCTGGAAGCTCCTGACGCAGCTTCGCACAGCCCGGCCGGATAAGAAGAACCTGAAGTTTCTCGCTTCCAAGAAACCGTGGACGGGTGGCGGACCTCCGAGCCCGGATGATGTGCGTCGCCTCCTCAAGTCGCGGCCTGACACAACGGTCCTGACTATTTCCAGGCGTGGAGCTCAAGCCGTCAATAACGCGGCCCTGGAAGGCCTTTTCCCGCGGTATCCGCCCAAGGTTTGGATTGATGCCGATGTGGAGAGCAATCCCGACAATTACGAGCGGGGCGAGCGCAAGGCCCTGGAAGCCCTCGTGCCCTCCAAGATGCCTGTCTATGTCAACATGCAGGTCTACCTGACTCGCAACGTGCGCAAAGATATTGACTTTGTAAATGGGATGCAGTGTCGGGTGCTCGGATGGGACGCACAGGCGGCAGCGCTGCGGGTGGAAACGACTACCGGCCATCGCTTCGCTGTGTGGCCCTGGACGGACACGGATCTCGGCAACATAGTTTACTATCCCGTGCGGCCCGGCTACGCATCCACGGTGGGCCGGTTCCAGGGTGCTGAGCTGCCCCATGTCACACTGTACATCGATGCACCGGGCGTCCCGGCTGCTGCCTACACGGGCTTGTCAAGGGTGTCCACTGGGAAGGACTTCCTGGTGGCAGCGAATGGGCCATTGACCGCAGAGCATTCTGTGCCTGCGCGTGAGTAAGCAGGTGTTTGGTGGGCCCTGCGAAGCACAGCCTGGAGCCAAGCAAAGTTATAAGTTCCTGGCAACCATTGCGCACCGGCTCCAGAACGAAATTGGCGTAGAGGCTAGAATGCAACCCGACGTTTCACTTGGCATGAGTTCCTGCAGCATTGTCTTCGAATGTAAAAAACGTTTCGTGCTTCTTGTTCGGAAAAACTTTTAAAAAACGTTTGACCTGACGACAATCTTAAACTTACTGCTCGTACCGCACCAAGCCAACAGGCCGGTCTCCAAGCAAGCCCCCCTTGATAGCGGGGTTTGGGGGGTAGAGAAACCCTAAACCCGACAAGGGTCATAAAGTGGGTGAGTGGGTTGGGAGAGATCAGTGAACCTTTGCGCGCGCCACACCACACGTCTTGCGTGGTGGTGCGCGCGGAACGTGTTACATGCCCTAAACCCTAAATCCTAAATCCTAAACCCTAAATCCTAAATCCTAAATCCTAAATCCTAAACCCTAAACCCTAAACCCTAAATCCTAAATCCTAAATCCTAAACCCAAAACCCCGCTTTGGCCTTGGCGTCTTCTGTCACCCAAAAAGCCTTGGAAAAGGTTGGGGTGGCCCATCAAGCGGGTTCGGGAGCAGGTTCTGCTGTTGGGGATACCGCCTGGGATTATATGGGGGTTATATTGGGAGAATGGAAGAGAAAATGGAAGCGACTATTTAGGGTTTAGGGTTTTAGGGTTCAATTTCAGCTGGTAAGGTAGCCGGGTCAGAAAGTTTCGTGCATGATCCGCCGGAGGCTCTCATACCCCCGTTTTTGAACCAAAGCCTAAATTCAAAACCCCCCATATCCTAATGGTCCAGCGTGGTGACCCTATTCTGGCAAATGGCCTGGTGTTCTCTATCCTACTTTTAAGCCCTCGCGAGAGCTCAACAAGAAGGCTGGATTTCAGAATCGGCTTGATCTCCAGAAATACTCTCCTCCCACTAAAGATGACGCCTAATAACACATGATTTCTCCTGATACAATACCATTTTGAATTAGGGTGAATGTTTATAGGGGGAGGCGGAGGTTATGATTGGGGGATGGGATCGCCATCACCCATCATTCAATCCCTGCACCCTCAGCCATAACCCTAGGAATAGATTCGTATTCAGATGGGCTGGAACTTGGTTGAAGGCCAGTGTCTCTGGCTGTTAGGAGTTGCATGGGCTTAAAACGGATATCACACGTTGTAGCCACAGTTGCTACTCTAATCCCTGAACCCGAAACCCCAGAATGAGAGGGTTCTGGAAACCTCAACGCCAGATTAAGAGAGCGACAGGGTTCTACTTTTGGGGTCGGGGGTCACCCCAATATGGTCCCTATATGGCCCCTACATAGTTATTATTTGGGGTTGCCCAAATCCTCTTGTTAATCTTGCGTGGGTGATATGTCCTGCAGGGAGTCGGAAGCCTTCAGCCTCCAAACCCTAAATTCTAAACACCCTACAGTCCCAACCAGAACCCCCAAAAGATACCCAAACCCCAACCTTTACCTTTAACTCCAAATACGCCTTCCTTTACGCCAAAAACCCCCCCACCTCCGAACCCTCAACCCCTGCACCTTTGACCACTACTGAAAACCTTTAAGCCGTAAACCCTAAACCCTTTCTCAACCGTGTGGCAGGTTTTTGCCCGCCGACGTGAGGTGGAGCTCAAGCACGGAAGGACGGGCGAGCTCATGCTGTGGAGCAGATTGAAGGGCTCACCCCTAACTCCCTGGTGCTTAGGAGGGATTGGGGGAATGGATCCCTATAGTAGTCCCTACATAGTCCCCAATAATACTTCCCCCATGATCCATTCCCCCATTCCCTCCTAAGCACCTAAAGCTCGTAGGTGCTTAGGGGCTTTGGGATTCAGGGTTTCAGCGCTTCTTCAAGGAGTTTTGGGGAGCAGAAAAGGGGGTTCTACAGGGAGTATGTACGGGCATATATAGGGACAATACCATATAGCTCCTTGTCACACGGGCGTTAATCTTCATAGGGTTGTTTTCTTTTTGCCTGTTAGCTTGTTTGAGCTTTCCGTAGGTTGCCAAGAAATGTAGATAGGGTAGGATGTTCGCTTCAAACCCCAAGCATGAGGATCTCGATGTTCGCCACGATCGGCTACATCGTTCCGGAGCTCTGGTAGGGGATTGAATTCGGGGCCTGACCACCGCGCAGAGAGAAATTGCATAACATTCGGGTAAGAGAAATATGGGTAGAAAATGGATGCAGGGGTCTAAGGGAGGAGGGTTATGGGAGGAGGGTTTGAGTCTGGGGGGTACAGCGTGGGCTTAGGCTTTGGGATTAAGGTTTAGCGTTACATCGCCAACCAATTGTCCAGGGTGTGGAATCAAAGGTTGAGGGCTGAGGGTTGATGGAAGGCTCGGGGGCAAGGCTGTTTTGTTTGTTTACCAAAATGTCCAATCAATCCCCCTACCAATGTAAGATGACTCTCTAACTTCAGATTTGTTTTTTTGTGCAGAGTTTGGATGTTGCGGCCCGTCGCTTCAGGTACCAAGCAAAAGACGTGAGAGCCAACCATGTTGTCCGGGCAGTTTGCATCTAGACTCATCGGGTCGCGATGGGTCTAGTACAGTTCTAGTGTAGTTTCTACTCCACACTGGGAAGTTTGATCGGCAGAACGCGTTTTGTTTTGAAGTGTAGAGAGTAGAGAGGACCTGAAATTGTGAATAAAGCTGCGAGAAAGACAGCTCATCAACAAATTGAAGGGGTTCTTTTTTTGGGCAGGTTTCTGTATGTTGCAATTTGAAGTCGTACATGGAGAGGAGGGAGTAACGTGAAAGGCTTTTGAGGCTTTCAGAAAAGATAGGTCTCAAATCTGACGCTCGTCAAGTAGTTTGCTAACCATTTCTGCCCAGACCATCTGCGTGAATGTCCTGAGTCTGTGCGTGAGGCCTCGCTTCTATTTCACTTTATCTATTGATAAGGGCTTGTTTCGTGATTAATCCCCTCCCCCTAATTCTAAAACCCCAACCCCAAAATTAGATACTTCCAATATATTATAGTGTACCATAATGGGGAGCATTCAATATTAGGGGGGTGGGCGGGTTTAGTATTGGGGGGAGGGGATTCGGAATTCGGTCCTACTTCCCATAGGTCAGAGACACAACAATTACGTACTTCAAGTACACTTTGGATAAGCCTCCCTGGACCTGGCCCTTGGGGACAATTATTGTAAAAGTAAGAGCAGCAAAGATCCCCACCCCAAACCCTAAACTCTAAGCCCTAAACCCTAAACCCTAAGCCCTAAGCCCTAAACCGACAAACCTAAACCCTAAACCCTAAGCTCCATCATTTTGCCAGGAGCATCTCACCTCGTCAAGCGACTGGCCTAGTCCAGATGCCCAACTTCCCAACCCCAAACCCCAAAGCCCTTCACCCCAAAGTTGAAACTCTGAACCCTTCACCCCAACCCCTCGTTTAGGGCCCAGGATTCAAACCATGAACCCTAAAACCTAAACTCCAAGCCCTGTCCCCAAACAAACCACGAGACTCAGAACCAAACCCCAACCTGAAGCCCTGAACCCTAAACTGTTGGGAGGGAATTGGCAGAGCGGACGCCTCTTGTAGTCCGCATATGAGCTATAGTCTACACTCCTCAAAGGGCGGCCATGTAGGGGATAATACAGGGAGAATTATAGGGCTTTTATTAAGGGGGATACAAGGCGTCTAGACTATGGCTCATATAATTCCCTAGCATGATCCTTGTGTTCCATTCCTTCACCCTAAATCCTAAACCCTAAACCGAGCAAGCACACCTGCAGCTGGGCTTGTCGAGTTTTATGGGGCTTATCACACGGTTTATGTTTGATGGTGTAGAGATCTTAGGTAAGAATCCCAAGATTAAGGGCCCTTACCAGGGAACCTACCCTAAACCCTAAACCCTAAACCCCTAAACCCTAAACTCTAAACCCTAAACCCTAAACCCTGTACCCTAAACCCTTGAACCTGGAACAGGAGTATTTCCGCTGGCCGGGAGACCTCTCGCCGAAGCTGGGTCTGAAGCCGCCAGAACTCCTCAGGAACTTTTGTTTTCCTTAGTTTAGGGGTTTTAGGGTTTAGGGTTTAGGGTTGCTCAGACGCAGCTGACGTTTCGAGTCTGCGAGAGAGAGGGAGAGAGAGGGTTTAGGGTTTTAGGGTTTTTGGGATTTGGGGTGTTGAGGGTTCAGGGGTTAGTGCTCAGGGCTTTCTAGGGTGTAGGGTTTAGAACCTTTTTCTTACTGGTGGTGGCTTGGGCATGGATGCGAACATTGGAATGTCTCAAAATAGTTATTGAGTTTTTGGGTGGTATGTCATGTGTGCCGGCATTCCCCAAGTAAAAGCTTCAAAATAAAGGTCATTGGAATTCCTACCTGATCCGAACACGGGTGAATGTCCATATCCTAGTCCTACCAAGCATTTCTTCTTGGGCTTCACGATTCACGATGTGGGTTGACGCACGGTTTAAGATAGAGGCTTGAGGGTTTCGGGTCTAGGGCTAGGGGTTAAGTTTGTTTGTTTAGAGCTTAGCCTCCAGGATGGAGACATAGGGAATGGATACAAAAAACGTTCCGAGTGCAGGGTGTGCTAAATTCCCTGCAGCCTAACCAGAACTTCAATAAGCCCTATTTCCAAGAAGCGGCTACCAGACCGTCACCAAAAACTGTAAGCAACCCAAGGTGGCGACTTTTGGCTGTTGAGGATCTGCTTTCTTCTGCGTAGCAGCGCATGAAGAAGTATCATGTTTTTGGAAGTCGCAAAGGGACGACGATGATGATTCCTTGCCAACAGAGGTAAGTCTTCAGCAGAATGAACCTAAGGGGTACCTTCTAAGGGTATCTAGAAATCACCAAAAACACCTAAAGCTTAGATTCTCAATTTTAACTATGGGTGAAGAGAGGTAAGAAGCCCTAAACCCTAAACCCTGAATCTTAAGTATGGGTGAAGCGAGGTTCACAGACATCCCCAACGGCTTGGCGGCCCTGACGAAGGCAGGTAGCCCTTTTTTTGAGCGGTTGGGATGTAGGGTTTCGGGCTTACGAACTGAGGCTTGAGTCTGTAGGGTTCAGAGGAAGTGCAAAAAGAGTGGCGGGGATGATCAGCAAACATAGGGGTGGCGACCACGGGATGTAGGGAGAATAACAAGAATTGTGAGGGTGATTGTGTTCTTTTCGGCTTTCTAAGTAGGAGAGTTGACATCTGGAAGAACACGGGCCCCTTGAACAAAATTGTTCTCGTTCGGAGTCGGCGAGCGGTTCAAGAAGGACTCGGGTACAAGATCCCTTGAGATAGTCGTCCTGGAGAACCCAGGGTTCGAAATCTCCGGCTTTTGTCAGGACTTGGAGTTCAGGGTACATGGTAAGGTAGGACAACGCCTAACCAAAAACCAGGTTGTCCGCTAAGGCCTGCACGGTTCTGATTAAGCAGTTTTGTAATATGACTGCCGAGGAACAAATTCCTAAAGCCTACTTGCACTGTTAATTGTATGCCCCTTGAAACTTCTTACCTCGTTCCTCTCATCCAAAGCCCTGCAGCGAAATTGCCTTGCTACGGAAACAGTTCCACACCCTGGGCAGAGTAGGAGGGAACCTGAACCTTCCAATCCTCATGAGCTTCGCACTTTAAATCCCAAATCAAAACGCTGGAAAGGCCTTCTTGCATTTCATGGACAGGTAGAAGCAGGTTCTTGGGCACTGCCCCCCCCGTTTTGGTTACAACGACTCTAGCTCTTTAGTTGCAAAGCCCGCCCATGAAGCTCCAAGTGAGCATGCGGGGCAGGTGCCTGGGCAGGGCTGGGCGCAGATCGTTGCCTTCCTGGGCACTTACGAGCTCTTCATCAACAAGCCGGCTCCAGAGCCGAGCTGGATTTTAGGGCTCGCGTTGTCTTCTTTTTTGGGGATGAACGGGTGGGAACGGAAGATAAAAGCTGCATACAGGATAGCATGAGCCCTCAGGAAGAAGGGACTTTGTGAAGAGGTTCACTTGCCTTAGCCCATGTCCTTGCTGCAAGGGGCGATTTGGATGCAGGAGTCAGATGAGCGTTTACCGACTATGGAGCTTCAATAAATGTTTTGCAGGTGCTGAAGGTTCATCACGTATGGTTCTCCAAATTACTAGACAAAGGTACTTTAGGCTTTTCCACATGTGCTTAGCTTGGCCGGAGCTGTACGATGGAGTGTAGAGTTATCAGGCTTTAATCTCAAGAGCCGCGATGTGGAGGGCGTTTTATTTTTTTTCTGAAGGGCGTTGGCCTCATTGCTGGAGGAGCGCGTGGTAAGAGAATGGTTGGAGAAAGCCCGACTGATAACCAGGTGATATAATATCGTCGAGACTGTGAGTGTTTCATAACATGCCTCCCTGGGCGGCAAGGGCGAGCCCGGCATTGGCTGATCCAGGTTTCCTCCAGAAGTGTGAATGTAGCCAACAGATCATGAGAGATTGGGCCCTCAGCTTGCCATTTGGAAGAGGAGCTGATGGAACGGAGCAGGTCACCCAGTAATTTGTGTAGCAGACCTTACCTGTGACCGCAGCCAGGAAGATATAAGCAGCAGCACGGCCCATCATAGTTGTACCGTTCTAGAGACCGATACCGCCTTCAACCCGAAACCTTACTAAACTTAACCCTGAACCCTGAACTCCGGGAGCAGTACATCCATAAGGTTGGCAGCGAGCCTGGAAATTATGGCAAGGGCAATCTTGGCCTCGGCTTCCTGGGACCCGTGACTAATGCTGAGGCCCGCACCCGCAGCCCGGCATCGGTCTTGGGGCTTTGCTTACTGGGCTTATAGCCCTAGATAGAATATGGGGTATATATGGGGATCTAATCATAATATACCTAAGGCCATATTCTATCTACTTAAGGGGGACTATAGGGTTCAGGGCTTAGGGTTCAAGGCTGGTTTGTGGGGAGTGGAAGAGCCGATGGAAATCGCCAATTTGCTGTGGGGCTTATGCCTGTTAATGTAGACCCGTGATTCATAAACCCCCTCTGCTTTTACAGGCCCTCAATATTAGGATCCCCAGCAGAATCTCCATTAAGGGGGGAGGGGGTTTGTTAATCAGGGGTTTACATTCATCCCTAAACCCTACACCCTAAAGCTTAGTAGAAATGGATCTGATGGCAGCCCCTATACTACCCTATACTAAACAAGCCCCAAGAATAACTTCTATGTTCCGCTTCCTACGGACCTGTAGTAGGCGGGGGCTTCTGTAAGTCCTCTGCTTTCTGGGAGTTCGAGCATGAGTTCGCGAGCTTGAAGCACTTGTGGGCAGTCGTAAGGTTCCAAAGAACAGCTACATTGTCAAATTCACCAAGTCTTGGAGTTACCATTGTAGTTGTCCTTCGCCCCTCTGCTGATTAAATCCTAGCTTTGTTTCCTGGACACTTTGAGAAGCCTTTCGGGGAGAGATGTCTGGTCAGGATCCCGAGTCGGACCTAGTGTTCAGGGCTTTTGTAGAGACTGCGGAGACACACAGGCTATATAGGGATTAGAACGCAGAAATGGCGACGCATCCCAGAGACGCCTTTATTTGCCATGATGATAATCACAAAGCCCAAAATGTCTTGCCACCAAAGCTATGCCCCTGAAACCCTAAACCGTAAACCCTAAACCCTAAAGTAGCAGTTCATGATTGGAGCAGTGCCGGCACAAGATCCCTGGAGTCCTAACCATGAAGGCCCGGCCACGAAAGCATCATTCCCAAGCTGCACCCATTCCCAAGCTGCACCCACTATACTGGGTCACTGCTGCATATTCATGTATACTGGGCACTGCCACCACCCAGTAACAGTCTATATTAGGGGTCCTATTAAGGGCTATATATAACCATATTGCAATTATTATCCAACTGTTACTGAGGGGGGGGGCAGTACCCAACATATGAATATATATATATATATCCGTGTGTGTTTGTTAAATTCTTATCCTACTGCAACCCACTGAGGAATATTGCTTTGTTGCGAATAGCATCCTTTGACCTCAGCGAGCCTAAGGCAAACTCTCAGCGGAGTTGGCCAACGGCAGGCTTGCCATGATGGCTATCATCGGCATGCAGCTCGGCTCAATTTGAGGGCTTATATAGGGCTGCCGGGCTTAGGGCTGAGGGTTTAGGGGGTTTAGGTTTCAGGCTTGGGCTTCGGGGTGTCGAGGGGTGTTCTAAGCGCAGTAGTAGCCTGTGCTTTTCCCCCTAGGTTTAGGGTTTTAGGGTTTAGGGGGCTTGGGAATGCTAGTACCTACCAGGTAGGCAGATTAATTACAAGGCTTAGGTCCCGTTGCATTACACCAACTACATCCAACTACGGTAGCATAGCTCCCACCAGTGCTCCTCGGAGAGGAGACGGTGGTGCTTTTGATTTTGTTGCTGTTTTCCAGGTTGCAGGTTGTGCTGTTGTGGTTGGGAGAAGTTGGAGTGTTGAGGGCTTGCAGGTGCGGTTTGTGTGTGTGTGTGTGCGTGCTCCGAGAGTTTCAGGCTTGTGGGTGGCCTTGCCGCTGTAGGATAGCCGTTTCAATGTTCTGCATGTTGCACAGTGAACACACAGCAGTCATTGATGTTCATGTTGATTGAAGTTGTGAGTTTCGAGGTTGTTCCAAGATGGACTCACAGGCTCGGCATGGGGCGACTGGGCGCTGTACACGGACTCCCCTCTCCGCTACTTGGATTGAGAAGCGACCAGCGGGCGCAGCGTGTAGCGGTTAAGTGATCGAGACATGCGTGGTTTGCCCAGGAAGTGGCCTCATGAGCCCCGGCTACAACACCCTGCCGGAGTGGGAGAAGCCAAACACTGGCTTCCAGGGATTGACCGGCGACCAAGCGCCTCTGGGTTTCTGGGACCCGCTCGGCTTCTCCAAGGACCTGGACGTCGAGGTCTTCAAGAGGCAAGTTGGATGTGATTTGTTGTGGAATGTTCTGGAGCGTTCAAAAATTATATATATATATGTATACATATGTATAACTGGTGATCTTGGTGATATTGCGTGCCCGTGGTTAAGTAGTGGTGGATCGCTGCAGGCGTCGCGAGACGGAGATTAAGCACGGACGCGTGTCGATGTTCGCTTGCATGGGTGATGAGCTGAGCGGGTGACAGCAGCTACAGAGTTGAGAATGTTGACTTCGAGGGGTAGGCTAGCTCTTAAGTGCCGAGGCTACATCGCGCCAGAGTACTACAAGTTCGACGGCTTTCTGTCCCCGTCCAACAACCTGAAGTTCTCTGACGTGCCCAACGGCCTGAAGGCTAGTTTGGGGTTTATTGTTTGGGAACGCGTTTAGCGAGGGTTCGG